ACCCCTATAAAAATGTCATAAATACAATCATTAACAATCGTAACGCAAACGTTAATAGCTAATAGAGACAAAAAATAATAAACAAAATGTTAAGCAAGTATCATGCTTGTACTGTTAATCATGAACTTCCTTTGTTACACTTCTGTGAATGAACATGCCCATGCCATAAATGTTTGTAATAATCATAAAGTCTGCCATTACGTCATCCAATTGTTTTTGAGTAGTCATTTGCCTTATTTAATAAGCAGTTTTATTTCTAATGTAGTGTGGCAAAATATCCCCCCGGTGGAAACCCGTGTGTCATTAAATATAAAATAAAGGCCTGTACAAGCACACAGAGCACACACATTACATCTTCTTCCCAGCCTTACCCAGGAGTGGGGGGAACGGGGGAAGTTTTGGCAGACGGATGAGAGCCACCACTTTCCCACCGATGAGCGAACAGATGAAGAGGATTGTGATGCCAAACAAGTTTCCCCCCGGAAGACATTCTTTCTCTGTGATGGACCACACCACTCCAAAGAGCACAGCTGCCAAAAGGACTGGAGGAGACACAGAGGACAGACATTAGATTGGATTGCCCTGGTTGATTTATTGCCATTTATGATGAACATGTTGCTATACATATTTTGTTGTGCCATATCAGTCAACCTCTCAAACTTCTTAAAAAAGAAGGTAACTCCTAAGATCACATTGTTGATTGTCTCATAATAAAAACACAAGTATTATCAGTGAGAGAGTACTTAAAGGCATACTCATGTCATGTGCTGTTTTTCAATCTCGTGTGTGTAAGTGTCCGGGTCTGGGACTCACTGAGCCCAGTCTGAGTCTCTCTTGATTTACCTTTTGTAATGAGAGAGGCCAGAAGGCCTCTTGGTGGACATGGGCAAAATCTGTGGAGCAAGGGGCAGCAGACGACAGGGGGGTCCGTGTTGGTGCCAGCATCCACAACAGGGTTTCGAGGGAGAAAATATGTGGTCTCCTCTGTGACATTTGGACTGGAGCATCTCCGTACCACCACCTGGATCTGATTCACACTCAAGTGCTGGAAAAGGAGAATCAGGTCAGTAATGATGTTTGCCTCGGGGATATTATTTCTTTAAGATAAATGACTGTAAAGGCCAAACATGAACAAACAAAACAGCAATATATTGCAATTTTCACTTCCTTCAAAGTAACTATAGCCAGCAGTAATTACATACAAACGGCCTTTATTATGTAGGCCTTGCAGAGCAGTCAAAAGAAATTAATATCGTAGGCAGAACAACAGATCAAAAGGTTCAGACTGAATCAAATATTAACACATTCCTTATTGAATAATATAAAGGCAAGGCAACTTTATTTATGTAGCATATTTCATGCACAAAGGCGACTCAACGGGCTTTACAACTTGGAAAGACTGATGGATGTCTCTGTCACCTTTTTATTTCCAAACTTCAGTTGGTCTTTCACCCTATCAGTATTGTTTAAACAAAGGTCATACAAGGCTCAGTTTCTTGGCGAATAATAAGATAAAATATGAACTTGCTCAAGAAGGTGATAACTGCAACTGAACAACTCCTTTGTTATATTGTTCGACTGAGTACTTTGGCTTAGTCTTTTACTGTATTTTAATATATTTTGCACATTAGAATGTGAGCAACAAGTGATGAGCAAGTTATCTTAACGAGTAAAATCATTTACAAGCCTAGAGAACGGTAAATTAACAACACATCGGTATTAAAATGTCAGAATAAAAATAAGCTGGCTGACAGAAAAACATTTGTAGATTTAATCACATTAAATTTGCTGCCAGGCAAATGAACACATTTAAGTTTTTTTATCGCAATGCTGAATCAAAAGGTACACATATGTATAAAAGTTAGAAAAACTTTACCTCCACATTGTTTGGTGAGGGCAATGCAATCCTGTCCAAGAGTGGGCTGGGTGCTGGACTGGGTGCTGGACTTGGTGCTGGAGTGTGTACAGGGCTGGGCTCCGGGTTGCAGGTTTGGGCTGAGTTTCCTCCATGACAGTTGGCAGCAGTAATTCTAGTCCACTCTCTTCTCTTTCACAGTACATCAAGCCGATGGGTGGGGTTGGCCATGGATGGGCAGTTCCTTCACTTCTGGGTCTACTTTTCTAGCTTTGTCCGCAGGCTCCTGTCCATAACACAGATACACAATACAAAAAGAAATTATTTACTTCTATTTCTATTTAAGTCTTTAAATTTGGCATGAAATTGGCATGAAATTATACATTTGATTTTACCCCACATATGCCTCTATTGTTTTGTATTATTTCAACAAATACTGAATTGAATTTGAAAAAGAGGCGTTGAAGAGGGAAAGTAGAACAAACCCGGCTACAAACCACATGAAGCTTGGTGAGTGTGCCAGATGCAGTTTAAGTGGTAAAACATAAGCAAGTGAGGAGATATAAGGTCTAAAGGTTGATATAAAATGTCTTGCCAGCACTTTTGAAGACATTGCTGCAAGGAGTACCACACCTGTACTGTATCTGTAGTTTTAGTTTGAAGGTTATAACTTACAGTATTTACAGTAGTGGTGCTTTAGGAAGTGGTTATACTCTTTAAATGTCCCTCCAAAGGTTTTTGTCTTTAAGTGACCCATCCAGCAGAGGATAGATTGCCTCTGTTATGAACAATAACATGTAAGACTACTCTTGTATATTTAATTAGTGCATAGGCTACTACCCAATTAGAGACAGAGTAGGGACGGTCAAAATTAAGTCGCAAAAAAAGCCGCAAACCCCCCCCCCCTTCCCATACATATATTAACCCGAAAAAAGATTTAAAGAATACCCCTAGATGAAACAAACTTCAACTGTGCAATTAAAAATGTATTTATACAAGAAATGTACAATCGAGCCATGTCAAGCTTTGCTCCCACATCCATCAAGCTCATGAACAAATGATCTATTTCTTATTTATTTTTAACACCACTCATTTAACCGCTTATAATAATTATTTATGACCTATTTATCATGCTTTTAATAGAGCCACTTGTATGTGTGTGTTTCTGCTGTTGTTTTTGTGTCTAGCTGTATGCGCACTGATGCTATTTCACACAAATGAAGTTCCAAACGGATAAATAAAGTTATTTGAATTTGAATTGAACCCGTGCAGGGATAAAAAAATAAAATAATGTGTAATTTAAAGCAAGAACCTATAAACAGGTGAGGGAAAAGAAATCTGTAATTAGACCTGAATATAAAAAAATAAAAAAAGTGTTTTAAAAAAGCAGATAGTGCAGAGTTATCAAAAACAAGACATTAAATTAAATAACAGGCAGTGCAAACATTAAATTAAAGGTGCTATTTAAGTAAATTGAGGTGATCATTAAAGTGTCCAACTAGAGCAGGGGTGGGCAACTGGCGGCCCGGGGGCCACATGCGGCCCCCATCAACCCTCAACGTGGCCCTCAGGTCAATTTTTACACATCAATTACTTGGAAACATGAAGGAAACATGACAAAATCTGCCATGAAATCATGAAAACCAGAAATATGTCCATAATAATATTTGATCACTGATATATGTTGAATTAAATTTGAGACATAATTGACTGTAATCGTTTTTTTGGATCCTACAATTTGGCCCCCTGGCGGTGAGAATTAATTGAATGTGGCCCTTGCTGTGAATGAAGTTGCCCATCTCTGAACTAGAGGCTGACTCTTGGGACAGCTGAGCAGATGGGAAATGGGAAAAAAGGAAGATGAACATGTACCTGGGGAAATGAAACATGGCTGAGGACATAAAACAGTGAAGAGTATTTTATTAGGAGACAAATTAAGAGGATATTGAGCTGGGTAACAGAATCACAGGAGGAAGATGTGCTCCCCTGTCTCTTCTCACTCCAGGTGTAACAAACAGGGACTTTCCACTAACACAAAGTAATTGTGTGTAACCTGTTACAATTGACAATACTGTGTTATGTACTGTGTTTTCTGAGTCATTTACAATGAGCTAACTCTACTACAATGTTTTGACAGTCGCTCATGGCAACAGACGCTGGTTAATCCAACACTAATCAATGCTTACAGGTCGACCATATGGCACATGTAGCTAGCTTTAGATCAAGTACGTTACTTGCGGACGCCGGGACAAGTAGGTTAGAGTTAACTAGCAAACTGCACACAGTAAGCCGGTCCAACTTGGCATACACGCATATCTACTCAAGCAAGGCGAAGTTAATGTTTACAGGTCGAGTTGTGACGGCGTTTATCGTGAAACGTCACAAGGGACACAGAAAGGCTAAACATTTAGGCTAAGTGAAGCGGCAAAACAAAGGCTGTCAGTGGACTAATTATCGGACAACAACGTGTGCTCAGTAGCTACAGCTAACTAACATGTGTAATAATAATAAACAAACTCTTTATGAAGGATTAAATATGAGACTCTATTTCATCTCAAACCAGGTCCCATTAACTATAAACCTCCCCCCCCGTTATGTAGAGGGGTGCTAATGTTGACTAAAGCCACCGGCAGCGTTACGTTAACATCAACCACCGTGGACTACAGATGGACTCTTAAGGGGTGAATAGACCCGGTTAACCACACCGATGGACTCCAGAGAGCAAAGCTGGGTCGCATTTGGCATTCTACTTTAACAGATGTTGAGGGAATAAATCAAATTTCGCAGAGAAAATCGCATTGTCCGATAATGGATTCACTGCCCAGGAGCTGTCAGTGAACTCAGCACGACAGCTATATGGAGTGAAACCGCTTCTGACACTCCCCGCAATGTAATATTCAAACCCTCCCCATTTAAGGATAAAAAAAATAATAAAAAGCAGCTCACCTCATAACGTAAACATTGTCATCTTCTCCTGTCAGCGGCAGCGTTCATGACACGAGTCTTAAGGCAGATAGACCAGCTGGAGAATGGGGGAATCAGGCGGATTAGTGATGGCAAAGCATGTACGTCGTCTACCGTGCACAAGAGTGCTGCTGTGTTGGAGGGGGGGAAGTTAGGTGACATGGAAAAAGCCACTCAAGCGAATTGGTCAAGACTTTTTATTACAGGTCCAAACATGTAAGATTGCAGACGACATGAGTTGATAAAATGACACTAGTAAAGAGTAGCTGCTGTGATATTAGTCATGAGAGTTGCTGTGACTATGTGTTGTTTTCATTTGTTATGCTCTGGTATGGCCTTTTTTTTTAACAAAACATCTCAAAACAAAAATATTTCATTTTATTATTCTTTTTTTATTTTGTACCTTTTTGCAAATTAATATCATATTTGTGTTGAGAAGACTGTAAAATTATTTGTCTTGTTTTTTTTTTTTTTTGCCAGGTTTCACCTCTTTTGCTCAGTTTCTCTGTTCCCTGGCTAATTTATTCTAATATGCCATTTTACAAAAGGACTGCCGCTGGGGAAGCCTTAAATGCACTTAAATGCAAATATTTCTTCATAGCACGAATTTCAGTTGCAGACAGAAATGGATAAAGTCATTCACATAATTATTTTAGATGATGCCAAGTTCATTTCTGTGCACGTTAAATGAGCGTCAACAGAGAAAGGAAGCAACTGCCTCCCACTACTGTCAGGATGAGCTTCCTACAGTATTCAGAGTCTCCATCCTCCATCAATGATCTGCTCTGTCCCGGTCACATAGGCAGACTGTGAAGGAGACAAAAAAAAAAAAAAAAATCATTTTTGGAATAATTTCACAGCTGCCCGTTATACAACAACTTCACCAGCATTTCTGATCACTACATATTAAAGTTTACATTTGGGTAAAACAAAAAACACAGCAGGGACATATCAAACAACACACATAGTAAACAAAATCTTTTTATGCATTTAGATGTAGTTTCAAGTCATTTTTCCATGATAAAATTCTCTGCAACATACTGTCTATCTTCAACAGACAACTTGATTCTTGTTTTAAAAATACAGCAGTAACCAACAAACTTTTAATGATAATTGTCATATTGTTACAAAGCCCCTTAAGTTCCTACAGCAAGTACAAAGCACCTGGACCTATGTGTTACCAGCAGACCCACAAACACTGCCTGACAGTGACTGACTGCACTCACCTCATCTGAGGCCAGGTACACGCAAAGGTACGCCACCTCCTCAGCTGTGCACATCCTCCCAGTTTTTTGCCGTGCCATGAAAGCCTTATAAGCCTGGGGAATTATAGTTTTAGAAATTATTATTTTCAATACAAAACCATCAGGATTTTTTTTTTTTTTTTTAGGAAAAGCAGGATAAGACTGCTTTCCAGCTGAATGATGTCAGATACAGGCTCTAGGAAAGTGACACTGTAAATCAGTTAATCATACCTCTTCAGGGTCAGGCTGGGCCTGGATCCTTCCTCTAAGTGATGGAGTATCAACAGTACCTGTGACAAATAGAAAAACAGCGACTTGACTTTCCTGCTTTGACTTATGATGTACATGTATGTGTATTATTGAGTTCAGCTTAGGCTCAAATAAAAGCAGAAAGCACTTTCATAAACAGACTTGTGAATATCTTAAAAGCACAATGTCCTCAAACACCAGTTTAAGTTGTTTCAAGGATGTCTGCAGTTTACCGTTATCTATGGAAATGAGGTAACCTTGAGGAACACTTGTGGAAGATTAAAAGGACACAGTGAAATGATTTTATTTTGAAGGGTGTTCTACACTTACCGGGGCAAACACAATTACAGCGAATGCCTTTATCAATGAAATCAGCTGCTATAGATTTGGTGAGTCCGATCACTGCAGCCTTGGAGGTGCTGTAGACACATCGATTCACAACCCCTGAGAAGAGGAAACACACATGGCAGTCACACACACACTCTTGTTTGCAGATGCAAACAATTATCGGAGATAAGAGGATTACAATGTTCATGGTCCTACTTTAACATCTTGATAATCTTTTTATAGCTCATGAAACTTATCTACAGTAAAAAAAAAAAAAAAAAAGATTTGTGCATGCTCGTTTACCTTTTATGCTTGATGCAACAGATGCCATGTTTATAATGTTTCCTGACTTCTTTTCCAGCATCTAAAATGACAAAACACGTTATTAAAAGGTGGCATTTGAAGAGTAAATGTACATCACAGTCTCTAGTCTGGATTTTTATGTGACAAATTAATGAAGAGTATGACATGATCCGAGGTAAAAACAAATTCCCCCTTTGAGACGGTTTGGTAAACTTGAAGGCCAAAGCTGGATTAGTGATTGGGCAGTAACCACCAATCAGGGCACAGGCTCAGAGTAATTCAGCTAATCCCAGCGGACAAAAGGATGAGAACAAAATCAAAGCATATGTCGACCAGTTTTTTTTTTTAAAAAGCACCTATTGCATTCTCTTAACAACAGGATAAACTGTGTTGGGCATTAGGTAAAGTAGGTGAAGTGTGCAAAAGGCCACCTTGGGCAGAAAAGCTTTGCACATGAGGTACATGCTGCGGACGTTCGTGTTCATCGTGAAGTCCCAGTCGGCCTCTTCGCAGTCCAAGACGGAGCCATGGTGCACAAACCTGTTGACAGAAGGAGAACTTTGAAAGTCGCAAAACAATAAAAACATGGAATCATCTAAACATATCGCTTTAGCCAAGAGTTAAAACGGCACAAATGTCAATCTGATAAAACAGGAAACAGAAGAGATCGACATGATATCAAACATTAAACTAAATCAAAAAAATGCTAGAGGATATTTTTGCATCATCCCCCCCTTATATACGCGCGTCGATTCAGAAACCTTGGTTAAGAAGCTTGACAAAAGGTCAAGTAGAGGTTAAACCTTAACGTATAGGGATTTTGGAAATGACAAGAGTGGGGTAGATTAACTTGCTGCTAAATGTAGGGGACAGCATGTTGGTTACACAAGAAGAACTGCAGTGAACTTATTGCTTATAAAAAAAAGTGTTGGCAATATTTCACTTATTTATTAAGTCAAACAAATCCCATGAAAAAAAAAGAAAAAACCTGTTAAAAACCAGAGTGAGCTAAGTGTCTCTTAATACTCCGGACATCCCCCCCACCCTGTCTGCCTGTGCAAGTGAAAAAATGAATCTAAATATGGTGCCACTTATAAAGTGTTCTTTATGGGAGAGGTAAGGTCATTGTGCTCAGACTGGATGGGAGAAATTAGAGGCCCTGTGAGGAACTTTCAGTTTGTGTCAGTATTGGCACCTCCTGTGGACAAAGCAGTACTTCTTACCGCTGACATTTCTTCTGTACTGGTACAACAAAAATAATGTTTTTTTTTAAATGAAGGCTGTTTCTGCAGCATGTTGTTTACTCCTTATGCTGAAACATACCCTGTGGCAGTGGTTTAAGGAATCAAAAATATCCAGAAATAGCCTCTCTTTGTGCTAATAAGTCTTGGTTGCTTTGGTAGGTCAGAAAGATGTATCTGTATTACTGTTGAGTCAGCTTCATAACAAGCTAAAACTCCTCACAGGAGCTTTGAATGAACCTCAAATAGGAGCATTTAGTGAATGTATGGTTTGTTTGTTTTCACATGTGGATGCGGTATACTACATGGTGGCAACACGATGGCGAATGTGGGGTCTACTGTGCGTCTTATAATGAGTAATGAAAGGACATGTCATAAAGAGCAACAGATTTTCTAACAATAGATGACAAATGCAAAAAAAAGGACATAAAGTACCCAGCCACGTTGAACAGCACATCGACATGTTCATGTTCTTTGGCCAGGGCTTCAACTTGGTCCTTCTTTGTGACATCCACGACCTTGGTCTTGATCCCTGTTGGTGAAGGGAACAAAAGAGTTTTCGTTTCTGGAGGAGATACTTGTGTAAGAACAGGCAGCCAGTCTTCTTAAAGCAAAGTGAAATCTTCTTTTTCTTGGAACACCTTGTCTCATATCTACACACCACATTTAGAAAATGGCAGCTATCCTGTTCAACATCATCGACATGTGCAGCTCTACAGAAAGCAGCGGGAGGTGAAGTGCTTTTCCTCCATGCACGTATGAGCTACATGAAAGGAGGTATTGAGAGAGGACAGACTGTTGATCATGTTCTGTTAATTCTCAGCGTGGTCCACAACAGGGGACAGTTCCAGCAGTGAACCGGCTTCTCAAATTAACTGATGACTTCTTATGATACACAAATTAAAACAGTTTGAATCTAGAACATTTAAAATTCTGTAGGTCTTAAAAAAATGTGTCAATGAAAGACTATTGACACAAAGATAATAAAAAACAATAATTATACTATTTTATTGATTGCATAGATAAAACGTGAATGTAGGAGCGATTAGCTTTTTGGTTTTCCATAAGTTCATGTTGGTTTTCTTGATTTGTACTTTTCCTGTTATTTCAATGACATTTATTCTATTTTTGTCTTTTTCTGTTCCGTCTTGGACTTTTAATAATTTCATTTGTGTGGATTTTAAATTCATGTTTGTATGAGTGGACACCAGGAAGAGGAGTTGCTACTCAGGTGGTGGCTAATGGGGATCCAAATAAACAAAAAGTTGAAAAACAACAACAAAAATCCAAAAAATGTCACAGCGTATGTTGTGTGATTTAATCTTACATTATGATTGATTGATATATGCTATCGAGATTTTGGTCTCTGAGGTCAATTTACAGTTTACTGACTAAATGTAGACTATTAGGATACCATAGGTAACCATAATGTAAGAGAATGTAACATTTTATAGCCTTCACATCATCTATGAAAGCTGTCAATGGAAAAATACCTCTAAGTTATATGTTCAGACATAAAAGATTCTTCTGATGTGTCTATGAAATAGAATAAATGTAGCTGTGTGTAAATGCTGGTATGAAAATGTGCAGGGACCCTGGCTGCATTACTCTGCTTGCCCAGCAGAGGTCAGCCTCAGACAAACAGAGATGAATCTTGCCTTGAACGCTGTCCAGTTCCTTCAGCTTTTCTCCATTGATGTCCGTCGCTGTGACTTGAGCTCCCTCCTTTGCGAACGCCTGCAGGTAAAAAAAAAAAAAAAAAAACCCCAACTTGAGTCGGTTCCAGGATTTTTCCACAATGTGTGCACCAGTTATCATGGAATAAAACCTGCAGAAAAGTATTTATTTGCAGAGAAGGGACCTTTTATTTTGAGCCTGTGATTCAAATTTATTAGAAAAATAATAATTATTGCTGTTTGTTTTAACCTAACATGGTGAGTGGGAGCTTGCTTTTTCTAATTTGCATGAATTTCGTGCTATGTGCCCACAGTCCCTTACTCGATCGCCTCATCACCACATTTCTACTGACAGACTGTCGATTTACCCTCGAATCTCTCAACCCAACACTTTGGATTCATTGCAGCATGGGTCAGGTGACAGCTGATGGACTGACTGCACCAGTAAGCACAGAGTGCACCACATCAAGAGGAAGACGCTCTTTACAGACTAGATGGAAAATGCTCAATAGACACCTCACACTCTCAATACTCTGTTACTTGTAGCTAATGATCTGAGACTTCACCTCTCTGTATGTGAATTCCATCACACTACAGTAAACACTGTAACACAAGAGACGTTTTCACACACAGGAGGACATCCCTTGACGGGATTGGATGTGATAATGACGCATTCTGAACAAGGATGCGTTTGAGGTTTTTTAAGTGTTTTCCAATCTCTTTGACAAGAATGTCATCAGAGGGTTTTTGTGTGTTTCATGTCAAGAATCACATGTGAGGTACAGTTATCTACGGCACAATGCATGTGCACTGAGAGTACATTGTTAGCTTCAATAGCAGAAAGTGTGTTGAGTTCATGCAAAAGAACTATAATATCGTTTTTTTTAATACAAAAAACTATTAGCAGCTTTTATGTTTTAGAGGATTTTCAGCATTACCTCCCCCCCCTTGTTGAAAAGACAACAAATCACGCATAAATATATGAAGGCCCATAGTAGTGCTGTAGTCAAGACCACACTAACCGAGACCAAGACATACCCGATACCAGAGTGCTCCTAGACCAAGACATTTAGGGATTGACTCAAGACCAGGACCAAGGCAGGGCAGAGACTGAGACAAGACCAAGATTCTAAAGGCCGTGACCGGGGGATAAAAGTCAATGAATTTAAGTTCTTTTAGAAAGGGGCGTGTTCCTTCTAATCACAGGAATGACGTGGAAAAATTGCCTTTTAGTGGTGGTCTTGACCAGTCTTCATTTAAAATCCGGCGTCTGCCCAGTCCAAGACTGAGACAAGAAGACCCGAGTAAAAATGCTTTGGATTCTGAGATGAGACCGAGACCTTCAAAAAGTGGTCTCGAGACCAGTCTTGAGACCAAGACCGATTTGGCGTACTGCAACACTAACGCTTATTATATTTATTTTTATAGCAAAAACAATTCTTAGGATAATAAAAGTTTTTAATCACAATTATATTGCAGTGTTAAAATTTTCTTCTTTCCACGTGGCTGTTTCATGAGATAAAGCACATCATCATCACATTGAAATCGTACACCTGCATTAAGCATAATAAAAACTGTGTAATGAAGTGGAAATATACATATCTTTGAGTTTTCACAGCGTCAAATATTCAATAAACAATCTTCTGTGATTTGGTGGGAGAAGTTAATAATAAAGCTCATTACTATTGCCGCAGCACGTCCAATCCCTTGCGCGGCAGCAGACAACACAATCACTTTCCCATCTAGACGGCCCATAGTGCACCTTTCACCGCAGCTGTGATAAAAAAAAATTAAAAAAAACACAGAGAAATAGAATATTGAACAGTAATAACAAGTTCATATTGATGATAAAGGCTCCCTCTCTCAAAACAAAAAAAATAATTTGTGTTCATGCCAGATTAATTCAACTTCAATTGTGCAGACAGGAGAGATAAAAGTTGCCAAACAGAAATCTTTTCAAAATAAAAGACATTTTATGGATTAACATAACTCAAACTTCTCTGAAAAGTTGTCCAAACTTTGAACATACTTTTTTTTCCCCACTTAATGCATTTAGTCCCATTGATCGACAGGCTACAGTATTTGTCAACAGACATTCTGAGAGGAGACACCTCAACACTTCTTCAGGCCACACAAGATGACAGCCTCTCCGTTTCAAGAGCACTATGAAACACCTTGAATCAGTGTTTGTTTGTGAATCCAGACTAAGTCAATCAACACTGCGTGAATACAGAGTCCTTAAAAGTGCACTGTCACAGACAAAGCAGTGTCAAAGTCCTATAGGCTATAAATATGCATGCACATGTTATGACACTCTTTCTCTCACTGACATTAGACCTTCTGATCTTCAAGGGAGGGCTTACTCCTCCTTGTCTCCTTCTGCTATTTTATCATTTCTTCAAGAAATAGAGTTTTCAAGATAGACTTTTCTGAAATGGGATGCTCCATTATTCTACTTTTCAAGGCCGACATTGATGCCATCATGGCACACCTCATTAACATTGGGCTGTGGGTGGCTTGCAGTGTTTCATCCTCATTGGTGGGTAGTCTGGCTCAGATTGTTGAGTTTGAAGTTTGTAAAGGGCAACTTTTAAACATCTGTCTCTACTATTTTCTTCTTCTTCTCCTCGAGCAAAAGGCTGAAGACGTACGACAGCAATGAGCATGAGACATCAAAAGACGTTCCTCTGCATTGTTCTTTTTATTTCATTAGGGATATAAGCCTTGTCATGCAGGTGCAAAAAAGCTGCAGATCAGAGTTCAGACTATGGCTTGCAGTATCAGGAAATACAGTTGTCAGTTTTCCAAGTCTTTCCAAAGTGGACATATAGTAGGCTATGTTAATGCCTTTTTCTTTTTATGCACGAGTATCTATGTGCTAAGTCAAGCTTATGTTCGGGACTCCAGGTTTAGTGGTTCAGATATGAAACACAGCTGTCAGTGTTGTACTGCAGTCACAGATTCAGCAGGATTTATCTACATTTGATTCAAATGCAAAATTAACCTGGAATTACATCAGGTTTTGAGCTTTATTTTAAACCCACAGCTTACTTTACTTTTTTTTTTTTTTTTTTTAAAGAGATCTGGTAAGTTTTAAACAGTGAGCACAGAGAACACAAAAGCATTAACCAATTTTTTTTAGAATTTGGCACATCAAATGTATATGTAATGTATATTTTTAGAATTTGGCACATCAAATGTATATTTTTAGAATTTGGCACATCAAATGTATATTTTTAGAATTTGGCACATCAAATGTATATGCCGATTTATATATTAGAAGTTCCTGTTTACATGTCACAGTTACTGACAGATGTTTAGTGTTATACTGAAGACAACTTCAAAACATGAGGATTCTGAGGCAAGGTATAGTTACATGATGAAATCTGTGGAGCTGTATTTGTGCACACCACCAGCATGCATCCTCCCTGCTATCCTGAATGACACTTCCCCCGCATGTTAATGAGACAGACTGCCTCGTTTCAGTCAATCTGTTCGTTGCAAAACTTCGCTGTCTTCTTTGCTTCACCAGCTTCCGCCGTATCTTACTTTAACGTGGACAGATGTAGGCTACGTTGTTGCAGAATTGAATCGCCGTGGTACAAACTTCACTGTGTGAATAAGAACCATGCATTAAAAGGTTGAAACAAAACCCAGAAAAGCTCATTCGCAAAACTTACCGACTCTGCCCAGGCCCAAACTGTACAGTCCAAAACACACTTGCACGTCAAAAATCACGTGGGAACCTCAAGTGACCTCCTGCTTGCATCGCTATTGGTCCCAGACCAGGAAGTGTTGAACGATTGCCAGGGAGTGCAGTGTATTCTTAGCCCAGCAGGAGTAAAGCATATGTAGGCTATTTTTTTTTTTTTTCTGCCACTAATACACATTTCAACCATGTAATAAAGTTTCTAACTTCCTCTTTAGTTTTGTGTTTCTCCTCTAAAATGCTTTTAAAAACATGCACGTGTGTGTGTGTGTGTGTGAACTCTCTTGATAAGAAAGTATCTTAAGGGAAGGCTTAACTCACCTTTGAGATCTGAACAAAGTGCTCTACGGCCTTGTTTTGTCTTATTACTATGGGTTAATGGTTTGTTAAAGCAATGTGTGACTTCAGCTTTGTAATAAGTAACGTGTGTTCCCTTAAGTTGTACCGTAATACTAAAATAAAATATTAAAATAAAACCCAGGGAACATGGAAATTCTTGGCATTGGATATTCATTTTTTGACATTGTACTTTTAGTTGTTGTGCAGTTTTTCATACCAGGCTGTAACATGATCTGCACATGATGTTAGCAGGCTGAGTTTGACCAAATATTATGGAGGCTCCTACACTGTCGTCTTTACTTTTCATTACGCACAAAAAAAAGTTTCTGATGAAAAAAGTGACCTGTTCATTTCAATGACACCTCGGCAAATTGAGAAAGATGATGTTACTCTGTCAAGTGCTGTTTCCTGTTTAAAGAATGAACTTTGAAACTTAATTACTCTCCATATTTCTCAAGTGAGCTTCTGTGTATTGAAAGCAAGATCTTTTTATTTACTTTCTTTAATAATGAATTCAGCTTCTTCAAGAATAAAACTTCTTATTAGTTATTTTTTGAAGAGATGACGCTTTAGACATCCTTCAATATGCTGACATAATGCCACTGCTTGTGAAGGACCCTTCTTTTTTCCATCACAGTCTGTCCACCGTTATCATAAACACTCAGCAAACTGTGACCTGCTGAAAGACTTAATGGGCTATTCGAACGATAATATATGTATGAGTTTTTTTGTTCACCAAAAGGCTTTACCGGCCTACCATCTGTGTTTGAATGAAGCCAAGAGGGGAGTCAGGACACAGTCATTTTCTACATCACCTCAGATAAGTGGACTCAGAGCAGTTACACACCCATGGAGACTCTTGAGTCAGTGAGCAGCAGGTCGACATGCAGAGAAAGAGTAAGAGACAATTAGGTCATTTTCACCCCTGACAAATGGTTTCTTTAAGGAAATTCAAAGAACTAATACGTTATATACTTATTTTAGGTTTAATAGAAAAGTCACAATCTGCACATATTCTGGGTAAAATACTTATGCACTGTTTTATGAGGGATGTAGGATTTTTCCATCACAATGACGCCATGCCTTTTAAAAAATGCAAAAATTTTGCATTCTTTTGAGGTGTTAAAATGTGCTTTTTCTAGATATCGTTTTTTTCAAGTAAATTTCCAATCAAGTGTTTGCACCTCCTTTGTCCGCCCCCCCCCCCCCCCCCTTCTTTTTTTGTTCTGGCTTCCAAGACTACCAGCCTGCACAGTGTTCCCATTCAAAGCCCTTCACAGGTGTCTCTTTGGTGTCCACGGTCGTGATTTCAGCTTGAGTCGTCCTGCTCTTTTGAAAATCTCATGCATTTCTTCAAAGAAAATTATACTGACTGGCTCACATTACCCCCACCATGGAAAGTGAGCTGACCAGGAGGTGGAAAAAGGGTTCTAACCCAACCCCGCCTCTGCTGCCCATAACACTTGATAACATTTAAGAAGTTAATGACATCTGAAGGGGGTGTGTGATGTGTCAGTGGATCTGATGTCTTAAGATGACAAGAACATGTCTGTTAATTATTTGTGTGATAAATACTTTAAAAAAAAATCAAATTTTTCATTAATTAAAAAAAAAAAACATTAAATGGGAGGGCTGGGGGACCTTCACAGACATTGGTGGATATTTTTATAGGAAAATTGATTAATTTTTGTTAGTCTCATAACAACACAGTGTCAGAAATAACTTGTAAACTATACATATACAGTATGTGTAATTTATAGAGCTCAAGCTTTTTAATTACTAAACTCTACCAAGAGGGGAAAACCCTGCTTAAGTTCAAGAAAACTGCAGTGTATTTATTAAAATGCAAGGACCTCCAAATCTAAAGAAAAACTGAATCAATACAAAAAGACGAAGTGTATAAACAACATCCTCCGAATGCGCAATAGGCCCTAACACAAAAAAAAGGCCTTTGCATGTCTAAAGTACAAACATCAAACTATATAATGCAGGCAATCAGTCCAGCACAAAGCATGCTGGGAAACGAGGAGTGACAGGCTGACTTTAAACTCAGAATTCTGACTTTAAAGTAATTAAAGGTGAGGTGCTCTCATGCTATTGCCTCATTGTGGATAAGGGCTGACAAGGACCACTGCTATAGTTTAAAATCATATCTCAGCCTCTCGTGCATCACTTTTTAATATGCTCTGTTTAATATCTCTTATGGATCCTGCAACACTTAATCACTCAAGTGCTCCCTTTGCCCTGGTGAGATCATCACTACTGGAGTGGGAACTTTTATAAGAGGAGAAACCTCTCTGACTAAGACGGCTTGGAGTTTGAAGGGTGTGGGCTTTAAGTCTCTTAAGTAAAGCAGAGTTAATCAAAGAAGGCCTTCAAAGATAATACATTTGTACTGAAACTGCATCCTGTAGCAAACCTTTAACAACTTATTGATTGAGTGGGTCTGAGGATCAATAAAAGTGTTTTCTTCTATGAGACAAATATAACCATTTCCTCCAAAACAACCTAACAAGAGAGTATTTATTTATTTGAACCACAAGTATGTCGATACATTTAGAGCTATTACAATACATAAACAGCAATACAAATACAGTCTCCGCTTCATTAGGGATCTTCATTGTAAAGCTCCAAACAGGAAACAGTAGAGCTAAAGAAATCTAATGCCTGATTAACTAATTACTAAAGAAGTGAAGTAGATGCATCAATTATATAAGCTACTGTATATATTTATGAGAATCAAACATTTTTCGAGTAAGCCTTCTTTCTGAATCCTATAGTGAATTAAAAAAACACAAAAAACATGTTCAAAAAAGCATCTATGACCTGCCAGGAATTATTTGGCCATGAAGGAAACGATGTGTAGCCTGTGACATGTGAAGGTCTGACCTGCTATTACTTTTTTTTATCCTGTAGGTGGAGCAGTTTGCCTGGGTTAGAACAAGTCTGAGCAAACTCTTTGTGGGTAATTTGAAAAATTTGGCATCTGACTATCTTGTTAAAAATACTGCAAACACATACAGGTTGAACAGATGTAAATGTGATAAAAAGATATAGAGAGCAGTCAGTGAATATGATTTATATCCTTAATCACCTTACCTGAGAGAAGATTATAAAGGTCCCAAAACGTCCCATTGACTGATGCAGAATGCAAGTCTGATAGGAGGAATATGGCCATCAAATGTAAATTTAGATAATAGACTTTTACGCTATGTTTAAGAAAAGAGTTTGGCAGTAAATACACAAATGTGGAGAAGTTGTGAAGTGATTTGGATGAGGAAGAATTCAATTATCAAGCCTGGTGGGGAGCTGCAATAGAGTCATTCCATTCAGGACAGCCATTCTCTCCGGTAACAAAGTGACAGTTTCACAACATAGTGAAAGAGTTCAGACTGATATTGATGGTTTTTTTTCTGAAACGCAGAGATCTAAAAGAGGAAGTATACTCCATACAGTGATTATGAATAACTGTAAATGTCTTTGAGTGAAATCTATTTTTCTGGAGTTACTACAACAGTGTTACGCGGATACTTATTCCAATTCCCGAACTTACCCAACATGCAGTTAATATTGACCTCTCTTCATTATCACATCAGCTCTCTTTAAAGTTGTTAGCTTTCAGTTACAACCATGGCAGTGGGCAAACACATGTTTTTCAGATCCAAAGCTAATGTTTAATTAGCACTAAAGCTGAAGTAATGAAACAATTTAGTTGAGCTTGTTTTTAATCTGTAAATGTTTTTCAAGCTCATTGAACATCATTAGAACAGAAGGTACTTTTGAGAATTGTTTCACCCACTCTGTCTTTTGTATTGTCTCTTTTACTGTGAAGTGTTTTTGCAATTAATTTTCCCCTTAGCTTGTTCACATCTTGATAAAGGACCTCATTGTCTGGTGGTGAGGACTACAATTCTTTCTTTCTGTGTGTTTGAATCTTAAAGGATAATAATAGTGAGAGCAGTCTCCTACTCGAGATTGTTTTTTTTTTTAATGGCCAGAATATATCGTCTATGAACACCACACGACCACATTAAGTAATAAATGGAATATTATTCCAACAGCGTGGTTAGTTTGACCTCTGCTACATTATTACCGCTCAAGTCAGGCTGCTGTAGAATTGAACACATTATGATTTTATCACACAAGAGGAGGCTATTACTGGCCCTGCTGTGAGTTACATAAATAGCTTCCAGCATTTTCAGACAAAAAAAAAACACAGACAATTTTCCTCCAAGTGAAATATAATACAATTACTATTAGAAGGGACACAATGATTGGAAGTCCCGCTGAGGCCATCTTGGCTTCTTTTACTTTATCAAGTGTAACCAGTCTTTTCATAATGTGACATTCTTGAAAGCTATAATTTGAAATATTTGGATAAAGCCTCTTAAAGGAGAATTGCAGACAAGAAAAAAAAAAAGTCATACATAATATTACATGAGACTCCCAAGCATTTTCATTGCCTTATGTTTGAGGAATTCTTAATAAGTCACAGTGGCACAAGCTTTAAAGACATGAGTGAAGTTCAGGCCACATGATGAGGTTTAATGTTTGGTTACATTTCTGCATCTGCTTTGACCGTGAGTAACACTGTAGTCGACATTTATGAGTCACTGCTGTATGTCTGTGTTTTTTCAGATTGCAGACAGGAAAATGACAAGGCACCTGGGACTTGTATCATCAGT